GGGGAAGGAGGGGAAAAATGAGGAGCTGATACCAGGGGCTTAAGTGGAAAGCACGTTTTGAGAATGATGAGGGCAATGAATGTACAAATGTGCTTTACACAATTGATGTATGTATGGATCGTAATAAGAGTTGTGTGAGCCCCTAATAAAACAATTAAAAAAAAGAATCTTCAAAAAAAATTAACTGTTTATTGTTGGGGGGCAGGGGGGAGGGAGTAGGAAAGAATTCATGAACAGGAATGTTAATTCCCTTCTGAAATGTTTATTTCCCCCTGGACCCCTCCACATTTCTAAGTGTACAGTTTAGAATATCGCAATTTTATGAACACGGCAAGGTATTCACAATGCACTTTCAATTTTCCTATTTCAAAATGACTCTTAAAAGAACATTTAAAAAGTAAGTATTAAATCAGTTTTACATTTTTTTCCTTCTATTCTAAAGCTAAACCTGTCATGTTTTTCTATATATATATTTTCTGGAACTCTCACCCCAGAATATTATCTGAAAAATCAAGACAGACACAGGAACTAGCTTGAAGGAGCTCCCACCGATAATATTCTGGAAAAAATTCTGGATGTTTTTCTCTCTACCTGCTGTATACTCGTGGCACCATCGGGTAAACCTTGGTCTGCGTACCACAAAGAGTTCAAAACCACCAGCTGCACCTCGGCCGGAAGATGGGGCTGTGTGCGCCTGCAAAGAGGTGCAGCCGCAGAAAGCTTATCTAAGGTTGCTGTGAGTTGGAGTCGACTCAATGGCAGTGGGTTTAGGCTTGTTTGTTTGTTTGCCCCATACTGGAAGAACCTAAGTGGTGAAACGATTTCAGTGCCCGGCCACTAGGGGCACTCTGGCAATCTCCTGAAAAGTCGCAGCCCTGAAAGCCCGAGAAAGCATTTCTACTCTACCCATGGAATCCTCGTTAGGGCACCTTGATGGCCCCAACATCAGCAGCCCGAGACTAGTACCAGCTGGGAGTGTGCCATCATTTTGGCAGGAGCTATGGAGAAAACTTGGGCGGAGGTTGTGTGTCCAACTCTAAAGTTGTGTTTTGATCTAAAAGCTAATATTCTTGCCAACTGAAGAATTTCTTTAGGGACTCTTGCCTGTTCTTGTATTAACTGTGCTCACATAAGACCCTAAAAGGCTTCTGGTGCTAAGTTTCCATGAAGCTGCCTTTACCCAAAGGCCTCAACATGCAAAAACCCAACTAAATCCACTGCCATTGAGTCGACTCCAACTCATAGCCTCCCTATGTCGCATAAAAGGGGGTTTCAGGAAGTTCATGGGAAAATGGAACAAAAAGATGAGGGGATTTTTTCCCATTAACTTTTTGAAGCCCTTTCATATTTCCCAGCTCTGTAGTTTAATGAACAGGGCATCTTCCTCCCAACTGGGGTGCTATCTGGAGCCTACGCTTGCCTTGAGAGCTGTTCTAATTTTAAACAGCAGTGTGTGTCTGGACAGGGGTCACCAGCAACCACTGCTATTTAAAGTTTCGTCAGTTCTGAGTCGGCTGAGGCCAAGGATAACAGGCTGGGAAGGACTCGGTGTCCCTCGGGCCATCACGACCGCAGAGTGCCCTTGCCTTGTCCCACCGCTCTCCTCCCGTTCTCTGAAGGCCTGCCCCTTGCTTCCCTTTGAAGCAGTCCAAGTTGAAATGCTGACATGCAATTCCCAGGGGGTAGTTTTCAGCAAATCATTTCTGT